ATCACAACCAGCTATTAACTTCAAGGAAAGCAAGATTTTCAGAACTGCGCAAACTCTTATGCACACCATTCATGGTCCTTTCGCACACGACACTTTGGCATAGGCTGGCACTAACCATTAGAATGATCAAGCGAGGTCAAACCAACATGTTCATTCATGTTTCTGCGCTATGAGATTCTGTCGGCGGTGGCCCGATGTGTAACATAATCAAGCTCAATCCGCTCAGTGCAGGCTGGCTACAGTCTGCTGCACATGCCTGGCCTCAATTGGCTCGCCAAACTCTACTAGAAGCCATGCTGGCGTCTCGCGATCTATGTTGTCAGCATCCATGGTTTTCAGCTGGAAGCGCTTGATTCTCTCTGACCTTCAACGTACAGTTTGGGCATGAAACACTCAGGTTCCAGCATAGGGAAGAGGCGAATCGCGAGACCAGTCAATCACATTCATGGCGCTGATGGTGATCTTAGAAATGCCCCGTGCGAACGGCACCAAGAAGATGTCAAGACAGAACAGGCATCTGCGTGCAGCTTTGTCGAGGCAACAGCCGCCTCCCGGCACTGAGCATCTGGCCCTACAAAGCTCCTCTGACCCTACGACCTTCAACCGCAGGACTGAGATCCGCACCTGATCCAGAATTGCACAAGCATCTGCGGGAAAAAAACAACTTGTGTTGGGCAAGGTGCGTTCTCTTCCAGGAAACAATGTCGAACCCGCACGGTCAAGACTTCTGGAAAATGAATCACCTGCACTGCAGACGGATCTGTAGGCTTGCTGCGGAAACCACTTGACAGGGTGCCTTGGCCAATCTATCCTCTGCAACCGATGTCTTCATCGCCGGATTGGACTGGGATTCTAAAACCCGAGCGGGGAAGATAGTGCAAGCGGACATTTGCTGTCAAACCAACACAGTCGGCGCTGTTAAAATGTCGGAAAAGTCACCGAGCATTCCACGGACAGGAAAATGTCAGCGCGACCGTCCTGGCGGCCAGGCATGCTTCACATGGGCCATCCTCTTTCCTGCCGTGACAAGCATGGCAGGTTGGCAAACGGAAGATCGCCGACCACCAAGTTCCTCAATTCGACCTGATGAAAGAAAGGCAGGCACCTAATTTTGTGGCTCTCATCTCCAATGGATGTAACAAGCTCAGTGTGCCAGGAATCGGTTGTCCGCAGAATGGAAACTATCATGACAGGTTTTTCTGCTGAGGCAGCGACGGTGTAGTTTGAGAGGCCGAGCTGTTTTCCGACCATTTTGATCAAATTCTGCCTCGCGGTCATGATATTCTGACACGTAGCAGGCAAGACTCTGCTTCGTTTACATTGTTTTGGCATTTTACTTTGACAGACGAGGACAGCTAGTAAGGTCGCTGGCTCTCGGTCGTCGCCTCCACTTCCTCTACCACTACCTATACCGAAGGTCAAAGTTTTGCTGCCATAAGCAGTTGGATTCCGGATTATCCATGATCTACGAACGTCCGCATGTGCGTTTCCTTCACCAGGTGCACTGGTCAGTTGCTCTCGTACTTCAATGTATACGCCTTATATCCGAGGCAAGACACAAGCTGCAAAAGAGCCAAACCACAGAGCTGCGCAGCATTGCGCATCATTGCACAGCCATGTACAGTGGAACCACGCACACAACTGCAAACGCTTACTCAGAAAACATGCTAGGAATCTGGAGTCTGTCCCGCAGCCTGCGCCATCTTGCTGGACAACAGGGAAACATAGTGAAGCACCCGGTCCACTCGCCAGTACACAGGCCACCTGAGCAAGCTCCACATTGCCTCCCAACATATCAACACAGCTATTCGTTGCACCTCAAGCCGGGCCCGTGACAGCACTGGAAGCAGCAGCACCATACGCAGTCAAGGAAGGAGCCGTGAAGATGTGAATCACCAGTGAGCGCAATCATTATCCTTGCGCGGTACCTGTAGAAGACCGGTGAATGATCAACAATCCCACTGGACCCACTGCAATCAGGCTGTCGCACGTCCAGATAAACATCAGTGCAACGAGAATTGCCGCCGTCACCAGCAGCTCCTCGGTCAATTTGACCGGCACATCGATGATCTCGACCTTGGTTCATTAGATACTTTTTGTATTCAAGTCGAATGACTTCATGGATCGCCGCCACACGCGTGCTTCAAGTGCACATTCTGGCTGGCTTCATACCCAGCACTAAGGGACACCATGAACATGGCTGAAGAGGAGACGACGCCCGCATATGCCCACCATCGCTGTTCTTTTCTGGATTTGTGTCGGGTTTAGCTATCATTGACCACCCCGGGCTATTGTACTTTTCTGACCGACGGGCAGCGCAATATTTGAACAATTGCAACCGAAGGGCCAAGTGCCATCAAGCATCCACAGCAACGGTTGCTCACTGACTCACGACGAGTGGCGACTACCGGAAAATTAGCAACCTGCCTCGAGTGCACTCGACCATGCTAAAAACAAATTCTCCTAGCAGCAAACCGGACGCAAGACGTCTGGATCGACCTCGCAGCAGTGTCCCCAGTGATGAAGGCGTACTGTTTGAGCCTCTGGCGCCGCCGCCCCTTGCAGCTCCGGTTCCAGACCAAAAGAAGGTCAGGTCACAGGTGCGTTTATGCCTCGTACGCCTCTACGTTTTTGTGGTGCTAGACATACAAGTATCATATCATGCGAAGCCTCGTACGTGTGTGCGTTTGCCAAACTCTGCAAGGTATATGGTGATGAAAAATCTGTGATGTTCAGAAAGCACTTGCTGACCATGAGAACTTTTGCCGCGCAGTGTGTGAATAGTCACACCGCTTCTGCTCCTGCCCTGTATGTCATCCGAAAGACAACTCTAGCTTGCACGGAAAGATGGGGAAAAAAAAAAAAAAAGCTTGGCAGAAACAAAGAAAATGTTGAGTAAAGATGAGCAGATTGCACGGC